ATTTCAACTAAATATGTTAGTTGGTTATTAGTTTATTATGAATCATCTAATTGCATCGTTTAAATGAATGTTCTTCTTTCTCACCAGTTTACAAAAAGTGTTGCTACTTCTAAATGAAGTTTCCTAAGAGGGTTACTTCTTTAATTTGTTAGGACTGATTTTAACAAAGATTTGACGTTCAAGTTTAAGTTTTCGCTTCACAAATTGACAGTTTTAACCATTCCTTCAGATGGATTTGCATAAGATAGACAACTAGATAGGTTCATAGTCATATTTTCAAATATCATTCATATTTTATATTCAGAGCAAACTTAATTGGTAGTACAAGTCTCATGTTTCACTTATTTTAAATTCCAGAATATTGCCCGAAACTCACAAATTTTTGTCCAAAATAGCTCTCATATTCTAGAAATTGTACAATCATATTGTCAAAATCAATTCGTTCAAAAGTATTAACTGAGAAAATATTTAACCAATCAAAACATAATTTTCTACGTTTAGGTTGCTGTCTGTCAAATTTAGTAGTAGCACATCAATTTATAAGAAGGGATAAATTGAATAAATGCACGTTTTCGGTACAACAATAACTTGGAGTAAGTAGAGAGCTAGGCTCTTGATTTCTTAATCTGTACCTTCCTGAGTACTTAAAACTGCACTCCTTGACAGTTCAGGCAATTTGAATTTACTTATGTGTATTTGAAAATTTGGGTGTAAGCCTTCCCCTTATAGTGAAAAATCATTTTGGATAACTATGGTTATTTCAAAGTCAATCTTACGATGTGTTTCTGTTAGCTTTATTAGTATCTGATTAACTTCCAAACATTGGTACCTTTAAGTATCCCACATACAAATATCTCATCTACTATATCTAGCATTTTGGATAATTTCGCTCCTCTGCCTTCTTAAACTCTCACTATTGTCGAATCAAGAAAATCATTTGTGCAAAGATAGATCTTCACTTTAAGCAATCATTACTTTATTTAATAGAGTACAATAATGTGTTGTTCAAATAGAGCATCGTAAGGAGATGCAGTCCCATGGTAGCCGGTGACCAACAATTGGTTCATACGCCATTTTTTCCTTCAGGATACTGGAGCCCATGTGCACCATTGGTTTGGAATGAGGGTTTTCCATCTCTCCTAGGTAAACTTACCGTGTCCACCGGTTTGGTTAAAGCGCCGAACATTCTCTTTTCGTCCTCTCAATTTCTTAAACAACACCCGTGGTGCGAGAAGGCAGTGAGTAGGACTTCCCTGAAAGAGGCTATAAACGCGTGGTCATGTGAGATCATTTGGAGAGGGAGAGGGGACTCTCCCCACTCTCAGCCGTACAATGGCATTTGGGGGCGAAAATGTAGTGTAGAGACTATTTACTAATACTCAATTGAAATTTTCGTACAGGGTAATTAGGATATACTAATTTTATTCGAGAAGTTGATAAGAAATGTAAGTCAACAGAGCTTTCTAATCAAGAATATAAAAATACCTACCATATATAACTAACTTGAGTAGTGTTAAACGATATTATACGACATCTTCTTTCTGGCATTGAATGTAACTGCATCAAAAAATGCATTTACATGAAATCAGGAAGCTATATAAATAAATATTCCATATGTAATGAAGTATTCCGACTGATAGGATGATGTTAACGTACCCAGCTAAATACTAAGTAATACATGCTTTACGGAAATTGACAGGCTCCATGCTGAACTGGAAATGGCGTGATGTTAGGAGGAAGTTATTAGTAATGAAGCTTTTTTAATGTTTGAATGCCCATAGAGTCAATCTTTTGAACTACCAGTTTATATGTGAACAATTTAGCTTTATAGTGTGAAATTTGCAGGTTATAAGTAGTCCACTTTTAGATACAAGTAATTAACATAATCTGGGAATTTTATTATTATTATTAGAACACTGCATTTCTGTGTATACAATTTTTTGTGATAATTAACTTATTCTTCAGTTGTTTTCTGTCATTGATAACTCTAAGGACTAGGATGATATTTTGTTGGATTACATAAGACTAGTTAATAATCAATATTTTCATCATACCTTCTATAAATTCAAAGTTAGTTTAGGTATTCGATGAGTTATATGTAACGATTTTTTAAGAGACGTGAACAGAATTCAGTGTTAACTGTAGAACAAGCGTTGTTTTACATTTTTTTAGTTGCTCTTATTCTGAGTGAAGATATACTTTACTGACAAATTAATCAGATTTAAGATAGTGACTTCAGGATTCTTGCAGAAATTTGTAATTTGGTGACAGACATACTCGTAAAAGAAACCCTAGTAAAAACCTGTCGATAATTGGTCAATAAGATGCTCAAGTTTGATAAACATAGGAAGACTGAAGACTAGTGACCATTATTCATGAAATTTTGTAAGTAATTTAGAGTTTATTGGTCTTTAAAATCAAAGAACTGCATGTACTCATCCATATGAGTACTCTCCTACTTTATTCTAATCCCTTATATCTAACTCAAACTTTTATTTTTTGTGCAACTAGTTATTCATTCATACTATCTTCATTCTGATTGGTCAAAAACAAACCTCACTTTTTCAAGGCTATATTTGTGCGTCGTTGAAGGTCATCGGGTAAGCATACTTTCACCCTACTTACAATAATTTCAGGTAGTAATTGAACTTGGCTCTCCTGAATTAAAAAATCTTACTCCAACAAAGATTTTCTTTTAATTACAGTTGATAAATTTACATTATTCCGTTACAAATAAATTCGACTTTTATGCCTGAGTATAAATATTTCATTAACACAAGCAAACAGCTTCCTCAACACATTGGATTGTATATTGAAAAAACTGTTAATCGAGAGTTCCTTAAAAAGAAGCAAAAATGACCGTGAATGAATAATTAAATTGAATAAAGAAAGTAGTGAGATTTTTCAATTCAGTGTCCTGAACGTATAAGCAAAATGACTGTTTTATATTTATGCAGAATTAAAGGTGATAGTAGATGATAGTTCACTTTCTGAAAATTCACCATTCGTCTACTCCATGTTTACCTTATACTGATAGATCTTTACAGAAATCTGTCACTTCTTTATGCAACTAGGACTTCGAAAAAACGAATAAACAAACCCTTCTTTATTTTCAAAGATAAACCGAACAGATTAGTGATATCTATTGGACAACTCAGATATGACTTTAAATGTCTTCTTTCGTTATATATTTTTGCATCATTTCACTTTTAAGACTGAAATGAATAATAATAGTTCTTCTAAGAATGAACCCTTTTGAGGATGAAGTAGGTATATAAAATTCCACGCTGTATGTATAAATACCACCACAAAAGGCAGACTGTAAACAAACAAAAAATGTCTGTCAGAACCATAGATTTACCAGACACTCAAATTCTGAACAAAATCAATCTATTCACATAAATTTTGGAGGGATTACTTTTATAGCTATTTGCTAGAACAAATAATTGTAATTCCTTTATTTGTATATATTCGTCTTTTTTATTATGGTATTATCATGGTGGATTTTAATGAAAAGATCAATATTACTGTACAAACAACTTTGGGCACGGGTATAAATTAGGTTTCATCTACTGGTTGTTTGACTTAAAAATTCAGTATAACTATTACAGGTATGAGAGACACGTCTGAAGCATAAATCCTATTTATCAAACTATTTCCAACAAAAGCTTACAATATCAACAAAACAATGAAATACTCACGAACAATATCTACTTTGGTAAGTTTCTGGTACTTTCATTACGATTTATCAAATTAGTGATTTCAATGACAGTAACTTTTAAGGCCTATGAAATTCTTCAATCATCTTTAAACTACTTACGAGTAGTATAAGTACATCTTTAAACATGAAAAACGGCGCATTTGCTGGGCAGTATTTTCCTGTAAGCTTATAATACTGATTAGCGAAATGTTAGATCCCAGATAAAGCCATATTTATTTGGAATTTTTGACACAAGTAATTTACTGATAACTTGAACTTAATATGATGAAAATTCTTTTAGACCGAAATTTGAAAAAACCACTGAATGTTTCAGTTGGTTGTTTGCTTTTCTTTCAGAAACTCATTCACTATGTGATAACTGGGTATGAACCACGCTTTGAGTGTGAGGGCTAACGATACTACTTTGTTGTCCTAACCAAAGTAGATGGTGAGGGATTTTAATCTGAGATTTAGTGGCTGAAAGTGTAACATTAGATTTTCACAGAGTTATACTTTGTGTCAGTATTCTTGAAGACAAATAATAGATATCTTAAATTTTTGAGTCAAATTAACCCTGTAAACAAAAATATTTGTATTCATAAGGAAACAATTAACCATTAAAATGTCGGAAAAAAGTTAACAGCGGTAAAGCCGATGCTGCTATGTTATTGAGTTGAAATGCCAATATAAAGAAATTAAAAAATTCTACCATAATATTTACTTCCAAGATTATTCAAATCTAATTTATCTACGGTAAGAACTATGAATAGAATCGAGGTTATAGTGAAGCAAATTATGCCTGTTACCTATGTTCGCTCACTGTTCTATAATGATTAATTATAATGGAATTTCACAAAGATATTGGACGATTGACATTAGGCACTTCATAATTGGGAACTTTGTAAATCCTTATGTAATATACGTAGTTGTGCTTTAGGCAATCCGATCATTCAAGTAACAAATACAATGATAAATTAGCCCTTATCACTGATATAAAATTTATTTTATTAACTGTTGATGTATTTATTATCTTTTTGTTTTGTCGGATTTACTGCTTCGTAGATTCCCTCAGTTTTTCACAAAACTTATGGTCTAAGAACTAATTATTTTCTATTGAAATATTACTGACTTTAAAGTTAGACTATTTTTACGGCACAAAGGCAAGGAACAGAAATCAAATATTTTATGAGATTTTATCAAAATAAAAGAAGAAAAACCCTAATGATTTCCATAACCTTCTTACAGTGGCTATATACCCACAAGTAACTACTTTACGCGAAACTTATGCAGCCGTAGTGATGCTACATGGGCTTCAGCTTGTTCATCGTTCGTTTTTTTATGAAATGACAAAACAAGTTGAAACGATATACATACAACATCTATCAAATTATGGAACCTTTTATTTAGATATTGAGAAAACTCGAATCCTGTGAATTTTATAAAACAAAGTTACTGCACTGATACGTTTCTCGCTGTTATGTAAAAGAACGATGAAGGAAACTGCAGAAAACAAAACGGCAGTACTATGTGAGAACCATAAAACTGTTGTACTTTTGGTCACATCAAAGCTATAAGCCTAGGGTTATCAGGGATAATGTTCCGAAATTCAGCAATTGTGTATTAGTGTCTGGTAACAAAAAGTGTAGGAACTTATCCGTGCTTCTATATAACATTAGAAATGTGGCACGATAATACGGTAGTAATGGATGATTTTCACCTTAATTGTGTGAAACCGTATTGTTTAAGAGTTCTGTTATGAAAACTGTTTACTATTTGATAGTCTTGAAAAAGGATTCTATTAATGATCTTATGTTGCAATCTCAAGAATACTCTTGTTTCGAACAAGAACAGTGCTACAATTGAAGACCATGTCGGTATTTGATCAGTATAGACATTGATCAGAGCTTTCTATTTTTAATTAGCACAAGTTAAATGAGTTGGTTTATTAGTCATTTTGTAGGAAATTATCATTTCCGCAACTGTTTCATGTAAAATAGTCACTAACATGAAATTACATCTTTTTTCATTCGTATGCACTTTTAATCAATAAAAAATTGAACTACCTTCTCTAAGGACAGGCTAAACACATGTTTAGTGTGTATTGTTTCTTCTTAACAAAAATAGGTATTATGCAACAATTACTAAACAATAAACTTGGAATAGTTGAGAATAAAAAGTGGAAGTGGATATGATACAGCTTCATCAACTTTAAAACATGCAAAAAATGTCAAATAAATTTCAATCACAAAATAGAAATCTTATTTTTATCCAGCATGACAACATGTAAAGAAATTTCCCCATACTAAACTAGTTTTATCACTAGCTAAAGCATTTTTATTGCCTTCATGGCAAACACAATGTGCACTTGTATGCGCCGTAATTTGTCAATAACAAAGAAAATGTACAAGATTTCTATAAAAGAATGGACAAAATCTGCTTAATAATTACATGTTATCTTGATAATAAATACGATGCTGTAATGACACAGAATCAACGAAAAATAGGAAAACTAAGAGGATTAGATAGTGTGGATAGGACTTAGATGTAAATATCACAGATTAATTAATAACTAGTAAAATGTTGAATAGAAAGCTGAAGTAATTTGATTAATTTTGAACACAACTAGTTAATCTGTACAAATGGGCACCTTGCCCAATGCTCTAGATATATCAAAGTGGCAAATATCATTCAGTCCTCCACCGACACGTTCACCGAAGAAGTCAAATACATATAAATTTGGCATTCTAAGTGAAAGATCTTCAAGTATATTATCAACAACGTGATTACATTGAGTCAAATTTAATATCACTAAATGAGGTACTTTTAACGGGATATCAGCAAATGCTTTTCCTTGAATAACGGAATTCCCAATAAGGCTTAGCTGGCGTAAAGAACTGCATATCTCAATTATTTGGTTCACACCAATATCAGTAACTTCCCAACACCAGTTTAAGGTAAGAAAGCGTAAGCGACTACCACAACAGCTACAAATATCCATTACTACTGAATCATTCAAACCAGGTGCTTCACTTAAATCCAAGTGTTCAAGATACCTCAACTTTAATTGATGGTCCAAATGACTTAAACTTTTGGAGACAAATAATGAGCTTAAACCGGTAGGACTGACTTGATGAGTTTTCCTCAATGTAAGAGCGACAAGATTTGAAAGGTTAGCTATGGATTTAACTGCTTCATCTTCAACATGATCACAAAAGCTAATCCACAGTTGTTGAATTCCGATTACATGGTGTTCAATTTCTGGATTTATAAGATCTTCAAATTCTGGTGTCCGTTTTGTAGCACATTCCAATCGAACAATAAATTCATTTAATCCGGAATTTGAAAGTTCAAAACCATCTAACCATATTGCATCAAGGTTACCATTACGTACAGCTTCACTGTCGGCCAGATGTAAAACACCGGTGTCTGTAATCCAAAGAACGCCATCCAGGTTTAGACGGCGTAGATTGTGTAGTCCACTTGAAATTACTTTTACACATGTATCACACACTGAAACACAATGTGACAGATTGAGTGCTTCTAATTTCGGACACCTAAGTACTAAAGTAGTAATGAAATCAATCTAGAAAATATATCAAAAAGTAGCAGGAAGTTAAGGCATTTAAAAGTAATAAAACTTTTATCAGTAATGAATGACAAGACAAATATGTAAAGTATACAACAATCTGCTTAAATGATACCTATTCATAAATTATTTTTCACAAATAAAATACAAGATACATAAAATACAATTTAATAAGTGCTATATTCATCTTAAGTAGTTACTTATTACAACGAAGGATGAAAATCCAAGCTACCACAAAAGCACCAGGTAAACAAACACATGAGACTTGGTGATATTGTCGTTTTTGAGCTACATAGTTTGATCGCAGAGCTTTACTGTCGTTTCGGACATCTTCAGCCTGCTTCGTCGTGAAGAAGTTGAATGGGATTCAATCTATAAATCCATACGGAAGGGGTTAATCAATTACAGGGTTGGAGATTAACTGACAAAGACAGCCAACGTGAGTCCAAGGACACACTAAGACAGCTAAACCTACAAAAACAGCTAATCACAAGCACGCCCACCAGAACTAACCGGCATAAAATTTGTGGAGCAACTAGAAAAATCAGTCCTACATGAAGGGGTGATTGAAGATGTTATTCAGAATAACAATGAAAGGTCTGGAATTAAACCATCTAGCTCAGAAAACACAACACTACCTAGAGTATCCGTCTGAACTGTGAATTTCTATTGTTTTACATACAGGACTGTTTAAAAATATCACCATGGTACAGAAAACCTATTCCAGTTACTGTTTCGGCTTTTTGTCGGTTCATAAAAAAAATTTGACTGGTTCGTAAACTTCCGTGTTTAATTACTCTGAGTAGCATAGGATCGGTTTGAGAAGATAAGTAGTATCGCTAACGCTAATGTAAACAGTGTGGTTCAAATTCTAGTATATAAACGTGCTCTTGATAAATGGATTATGCCACGTTTGTTACTCATAATAGTGTATCAATTCATGAGAGAGTCAACAAAATTATTAGAAAAACAGACAAACTAAAAGAAAAATAGGCAGGAAAAGAAATTGTGTGGAATAATGTGCTCATGACCTATAAAAATACGAAATACTGGATTCATGCTAATTTCTGAAAGATTAATAATTCCTTTCACGACCCCAAATGCCCTTGTACGGCTGAGAGTGGGGAGAGTCCCCTCTCCCTCTCCAAATGATCTCACATGACCACGCGTTTATAGCCTCTTTCAGGGAAGTCCTACTCACTGCCTTCTCGCACCACGGGTGTTGTTTAAGAAATTGAGAGGACGAAAAGAGAATGTTCGGCGCTTTAACCAAACCGGTGGACACGGTAAGTTTACCTAGGAGAGATGGAAAACCCTCATTCCAAACCAATGGTGCACATGGGCTCCAGTATCCTGAAGGAAAAAATGGCGTATGAACCAATTGTTGGTCACCGGCTACCATGGGACTGCATCTCCTTACGATGCTCTATTTGAACAACACATTATTGTACTCTATTAAATAAAGTAATGATTTCTTAAAGTGAAGATCTATCTTTGCACAAATCATTTTCTTGATTCGACAATAGTGAGAGTTTAAGAAGGCAGAGGAGCGAAATTATCCAAAATGCTAGATATAGTAGATGAGATATTTGTATGTGGGATACTTAAAGGTACCAATGTTTGGAAGTTAATCAGATACTAATAAAGCTAACAGAAACACATCGTAAGATTGACTTTGAAATAACCATAGTTATCCAAAATGATTTTTCACTATAAGGGGAAGGCTTACACCCAAATTTTCAAATACACATAAGTAAATTCAAATTGCCTGAACTGTCAAGGAGTGCAGTTTTAAGTACTCAGGAAGGTACAGATTAAGAAATCAAGAGCCTAGCTCTCTACTTACTCCAAGTTATTGTTGTACCGAAAACGTGCATTTATTCAATTTATCCCTTCTTATAAATTGATGTGCTACTACTAAATTTGACAGACAGCAACCTAAACGTAGAAAATTATGTTTTGATTGGTTAAATATTTTCTCAAAACTCGTCCTATTTCACCTAAATTCAGTTTTATGTGTATCGATAGGAAGAGCAATGACTAAAATGCCTTTAAACAAACATAAGGGGAATGAACAATACATATCATTTTCTGTACGTATATGACAGTCACTTTAGTGAAGTGAGACACCTACATTTATGGAGTTAATGGATATTTGTCTAAGCCGTGTAGACGGATGAGGATATTTTTGTTTGGGTCCGACAAATAAATAAAATCTGCATTTGAAGACCGTGTGATATATTTCGACATTGGTAACAGTGAAAGACTCCTTTCTCAAATTTCAACCAGTGTCAGGCTATATGTCTCACTCGACTCCATAAATTTGTTTACTCATTTCTCTCTTAGGCATGAATCATTGTCCGCATATCTTTATCTCTTCTCTTGTAGTGCGTCGTGAAGAGAGTAGCTGTACCGACAGTCTGGTCGTACTGGACCATCAAAAACTAGGACGAATGAAACAGAACTCATGTGCAAACGTATTAAGTAAACAATCAACCGCTATTTCCACCTTAACATAATTAATACATGATGATTATTCGTTAAAGTACAGGAAAGAGTCTATATGAATGTAATCTGAAACAATACAACTTAAACATTCAGCATACAGCAAGCTTTAAAACTTATTTGTAACTGACTAAAATAAAGGGAATTCCTAACAAAACTATTAGCACCAAACTCGTTAGAGAGAACGATAAATATACTACCCAATAAAACAGTTCGCTTTAGGACAACACTGTCACTAAGTCCAGGCCCAACACTAATCCTGCAAACTCGTTGAAAAGTGAACACTCAAGTTACTTATTAGTCATAAATTTGAGAAAGTAGACTGCTTATCGCCATTGTTAGTTCATACTTTAATGAAGTCACATCAAAACAATTGTAGGAGTCATCATATGAACCTGGAAATATTGATTCGGTCGAAGAAACCATCAGACAAGAACCTAAGATTTTGAGGTTAATTCCCGTCCATTACGCTAAGGGTAGATCTAGCTGTTAAAGAATTGGTTAGTGTCTAGCTGTAAATTTTAACTCATGAGGATGCAAAAGTTAACAAACAATAATGCTCATTCAACAACAGATGGTACTACACGACTAAAAACCAAAATACCAAGGTCAAACGGATTGAATTACAATAAAATTTATTTTTTATTGGTTACCTCTATAGTATTTACACCTTCAACGTTGAGATGCAGTAATGTTGGTGGGAGATTATTGACGAGGATAGTTGTTGCTCGCTCGCTCAATGTGCTAAACCCTATATTAAGGCATGTAAGCAAGGGACAAAGCTTAATAGCATCCGGCAGTACAGATTCCGCATGTTTAAGTGCCAGACAGCGTAGAACTCGAAGCATCGGCCGACTGGAAATAGCTTTGGTAATTAATTCGGCTGGTATCTGACGTCGTAGAACAAGACGAGTGCGAAGAACAGGGGTTAAAGACACATAATACCACAACTGACAGACAGCTGGAACATTGTGTAGTAAGTCGGAGGCTGGAAGAAGCTTGAAAATCTCTAGAATCACATCAAACGGGAGTTTATGTATGGAAGGACTAGATCCCGGAACATATTTGCTCGCAGGAGGCAAGGAAAAAGAAATCTTTGAGCAATCAGTTGAAATAGCTTGAATTGTTTTATTGAATGAGCTTGAAGGCCCGACAGTATTTATTTCAAACTCATAGGATGAATCTTGAGTACTGGGTACTTGCTTCATGGGCCTAAATGATGAAAGTGGTAGTTCATCTAAATAGAAAACCCAAAGGAGGATCAAAATTCCTTCCTAGGACATTTAATTTGTCTATCAACACATCCCAAGAAGAATATGAACAACAAATAAAATATCGAATCGGACCTCAAGTAGATCAAGGTCAATGGAAGTAGCCTTGAGCTTGTAGGTCAAATCCATAACTTTGTCTCTGCTTCAATAAGAGCATTTCAAATGGTTCAAATGGTTGAGGACGGAATAGAAGAAGCTTTCGCTTAACGGGCTTCCGTGTCTAGTAGCAGTGGATCACCAATACCTCCAGGCAAAAACCTAGGTATATGAACGATAATAGAGGGGAAAAAAATAATTTGGTAAATCATAATAATATGTTATCCTTAGTCCTTAAGAATAAGTCAAGTTTTCTCTTAAAGGACTCCTGGGAGGTCGCTTGGACTAGCTCAGTCGGCAGCGAATTCCAGCACTTGACAACTCTAACGGAGTAGAAGTTGTGTCTGCAGTCTGTTCTGCTATGTAGGGTCTCCAATTTCTGGGTGTTACCTCTGAGATTAGTGTTATGACTAAGCTTAAGAAGTTGTTTAAGGGGATGACCAGAAGTATTAAGGATACTATAAGTCATAAGAAGATCACCTCTAAGACGCCTATACTCTAACGGGTAAAGGTTAAGTGATTTGAGGCGCTCTTCATAAGGTTTGAATTTGAGACCCCGAACTGATTTCGTGGCTCGACGTTGTATACGTTCCAGAGTGACCTTATCCTTTTGGAGGGAGGGAGGAAATACTATGTTTCCGTACTCTAAATGGGGACGAATAAAACTGTTGAAGATTATATGGAAGGTTCTACCGTCAAACTGGCCAAAAATGCGCTTCAATGTTACCAGTGCAAGGTTTGCTTGAGAGGCGTTTTTGTCACAGTTCGCATACGATTTCAGGTCGTAGGGTACCAACACTCCTAAATCTTTTTCAACTTGGGAAACTTCTAGAGGTGAGTTACCTAAGTTATAACTATAGTCTGCAACATGTCTCAGATGGACTACCTTGCACTTTGAAGTGTTGAAGGTAAGTCCGTTGTCTTCTGCCCAACTTTGAAGTCGAGTCAGATCCTCCTGCAGAACTAGTATATCATTGTGCGTACGTATCTCCCTCCAAAGTTTCACATCATCAGCAAAAAGCAATAAATCAGATGAAACTTGTTGAGGAAGATCGTTAATATAAATCAAGAAGAGAAGAGGTCCTAGTATTGAACCCTGGGGGACCCCACTAGGACATTCCATAGCCTGAGAGAGAGTGAAGTTAACCCTGACCTTAAAATGTCGGTTTTCTAGGTATGAAGTGATCCAGTCAATTAAAGGGGGTTTTATACCCAATCGTCCAAGCTTCTTGATAAGACATGCATGGTTGACCCTATCAAAAGCTTTTGAGAAGTCCAAGTAAATGACGTCAACCTTCCCCTTGCGATCAAGGATGGTTGTCCATCTATCCACCGCAGTCAGCAGGTTGGTCGTACAAGAATGACCTTTTCTGAAACCATGCTGTTGAGGCGAGAAGAACTTTAAGGATGATAAGTGATCAAGTATGCCGTCGAATACTAGTGATTCCATAATTTTTGAAGGTATGGAGAGAAGGGCCACTAGTCGGTAGCTTGAGGGTTCACTGCGTCGACCTCCTTTGAAAATTGGTGTGATGTGGGCCAGCTTCCATATTTCCGGTAGTTTTCCTCTGCTTAGCGAGTGTGCAAACATCACGCTAAGTGGTGTCGCCAGGATTGAAGCTGCTTCCCTCAGTACGGCGGAATGAACCATGTCCGGACCAGGAGAAGTGTCTTTTTTTAGGTTCTGCAGTTTATGGAGCACCAAGTCAGCACTCAGGTTCACCTCAGAAAGTCCTGTACAGGTGCAGGTGAAGCTTTCGTCAGTATGGTTAATGTGGGTCAGTTGGAATGTCCGGGAGTAATGTTCAGCCAAAAGGTTAGCGGCATCACTGTCGTTGTTGGTCGGGCCATTAGGACCAAGCAGTTGGGAAACTCCAGTTTTGCCTTGTCGAAGAGAAGCTGCATAACTGAACAAGCTTTTCGGATTGGAGACGAACCTATCGATAAGCTTGGTCTGGAACTGAAGCCTGTCTTCTCTTATTGTCTTTGTGCATGTGTTCCTTATATGTTTGTATTGCCTGTACGCGCCGTTGTTATCAGTTCGTTTATATTTAGCCCAACAGTGCCTTTTGCGGCTTAGCAAACGACGAGTGCGGTTCTTGATGATTGCAGGTTGCTTGTAGCTTTTTGGGACCATTTTGGGAACTGAATGCTCAGTAAAAAATCCCAATGAGCATCCACTTCAATTTCAGGGCGAACATCCCAATCCACCTGTTGAAGATAGTCCTGTAAAGCTAACACATTCAACCGTTTGAAGTTCCAGCGCTTGTTGCTAGTAGGATATCGTAGCTCCGTCTTGCTGACAAAGCTAAATGATAAGACGGCGTGATCACTTTTGCCCAGGGAAGCCAGGATTGAGAGGTCGTCAACTAGGAATTCTTCGTTTGTGAATACCCAGTCTAAGCGTGACGGCGTCTGACTGTTTCTCCAACGGGTTGCCGACTTCACATTTTCAAATAATCCCAGGTCGCCGATAAGGTTGAAGAACAGAGCTTCAGTAGAGTTGGCACCACCAATGTATGTATGTTCCACGAAGTTGATTCTAGGGAGATTGAAATCCCCTGGCATTGACCTGAAGAACTTCCTAAGTATAACCTCTCCTAGAAGCTCTTTCTAAAAATAGGAAAATGAAGTTTGATAAGCCAAATATCTGCCGAATGTGATTAGAAGGAAAATGTTTTTTTTAATTAGCAATATGTGAGCAGAAATTTTGATCTCTGTTTCGAAGATAGTACTTACTTCAGCATTTTCCAGTCTTTTGGTAATCGACCCTGCGTTATAGATAGATTAAAAAATAGGCTTGGGGGGATTTTTGACGAATTTCGCTGATTCCTTTAGTAACCTAGGATGCATTTTATCGGATCCCATAGATTTGTCTATATCACGCTCAGGTCACAACCTACAAATACATCTTATCAAAACCTTCAACTGCCTTTTGATATCTAGTCTTCGGATGCGTCTAACCTAGCGATTGGCACGTAGTTTTCCTGTAATGGTGATCATAGTCGACCGTGACTCCATGCCTACTACATCTGGTTAGCCCAAACTGCGAACACGTTTCAGCCACTGGAAAACCTTCAAAAGAAGACTATCACAGCGAGTTTATTACTCGTCCATCCACATTTGTTGCATATTTTCATATTGATGTCTTGAAATATATCATATTCTGGCAACAACTCGAAATGACGATGAGCGATAAGACTAGCATTAATATACTAGACTCCGAGGTACAGTTTATCAATTTCCGGCCTGTCTCCTTTATTCCTCATGATCCAGAAGTTTGTTTCGCGGCATTGGAGGCTCGTTTCGAAATCCACTGCACTACGAACCGACGGTAGAAACAGCCTTGCGCTCTGGAAACTTTACCAGGGGATCACACTGCTGCTATGAGGTTGCCCTCAACCCCAATGTATCTAACTTTTATGATCGTCTCAAGGAGGCGATCCCCATACATTTCCTCCCATCGAGGGAGAAACTCTTGAGGACATTATTGTCATGTCACCCCCTGATGACGCTAAACCGAGCCATCATCTCACGCACCCCCAACCTCCTACAGGACCCACGACAGCCGATTACGTACTTGTTAAGGAATTATGGCTCGAATCTCTACCAGCACATAAAAAAATCAACGATTACTGCCCTGCTCCAGGATACACCACTTAACCAGGTGGCTATCATAGCAGATAAGATACTGGCAAGGACTGGCTTCCGAGACGACTATATAGTTGTCTCAATGTCACTCTCAAACGTAGATCCCCACGCTAGTCACCTTTCAGCTCAAAGTGATAGGAGTGGCTACATCCATATCCGTCTCAATTTCCAAGGCCATTCAAAAATACCATAATCTACGTCCCATGAGCCCGGTCACGCTCCCGTAACGCCTTAACTGCTTGTTCTAAGCGGGCATCTTCCAAGCCGCTCTAAAAGACCGTTTCGTAATTGGTTACTGGGTAGTGTTGGCTCCACTGTACCTTTTGGTCATGTGCCCGCCATTGTCGAGCCCCCTGCTCACACAAGACGCAAACTCCCGGGCCGGTGAGTAGATGCGGCCGTACTCGCTAGCCCCTCACCTCAGGTTAGCCGTTTATTTTACGTGCACGACTATCGCAATAACGCTAAGTACCTGGTACATACAGGTGCCCAAGTTTCTGTCGTACACATTGGTAACAGTAGGTCTCAAGCCACGATGCTTCCACTACGCGCTGCGAATGGCCTAGGCACTCCTGCCCGTGGTACACGACAACTTACGGTCAACCTGAACAACCGACGACAGTATCTGTAGACATTCATCATTGCCGATGTTTACACAGCCATACTCGGTATCGATTTCCTACAGCACTATAAAATGCCAGTCGATTCACGTAGGGTGCAGCTAATCGATACTTCTTTGAAAGCAAATTCATGGGTTATAAAGCTCACACAAACGCGTACCGAATCACAGGTGTATTTCATTCGCGTGACCATATATTCCACGCTTTATTCCAGAAATCCCCGCAACTAACTAAGCCTCTCGAGGAGATCCCATCTGTGACTAGTCGTGTGGCACACCACATAGTCACACGCGGACCCTCAGTCACGGCAAAGTCTCGTCGACTGGCACTGGACAAATTAGCTTTCGCCAAATATGAGTATGACAATTTGCTAGCTACTGGTATTATTCACCCTTCTCACGGTCCCTAGGCCTCACCTCTCCACATGGTATGCAAAAAGGATATGGTTAGTTGTATATCATGTGGCGACTACCGAAAACTAAACGTAGCTACACGTCTTGATAGCCACCTCATCCCCCAAATACACGATATCACGGCATCACTCAAGGGCACGACTACTTTTTCCAAGATCGATCTGATCCGAGCATATCATCAGATCTCAGTCGCTCTTGAAGATATCGAGAAAACCAATATAACAACTTCTTTCAGTTTGTTTGAGTTCCTACGAATGCCATTTGGATTACGGGATGTTGCCCAAACTTTCCGAAGGTCCATAGATAGCATATTATGAGACCTAGATTTTGTTCACGTCTATATTGATGACCTTCTAATCGCATCATCAAACGTAGATAAACACTATCAGCATC